TTGCTAGCCTAAAGATGGCATTTCTGAGGTTTAACCTCAGCCATGATATCAAGAAATGATAAAATAAAGATCTCAGTCTAGAATACCCAGAAGACTTTACCATGTAGTTACCCACTCCCCGAAATCCCCACTACAACAAAACCACACACTTCAACACCCAAGTAACAAAAATTCCAAGATTAAGGAAAGTGATTGCATACAGACTGCAGGTGATGTTATAACTTTGCATCATGTAGAATTCTCTCCATTCTGTCCCTTCCACTCCTCCCCTCTTCCCCCTCCTGCCCACTTCTCCTTCACCAACAATATATTTTCCTGTCAAAACATACTTGGTTACATGCAGTGCAACCGAAATTGCTGCTATTAGCTTAATTGAGACAGGGTGATTATAAATAAATTACATGCAGTGCTACTGAAATTGCTGCTATTAGTCTAAATTGAGACAGGATGATTAGTCATCATCAAGTGAAGCTTAATTCAGAGTGTACTTAATTCAGAGTGTACTCCACATGGCTGCAGAGGCCCTGTGGTCATCTGGCAGCCCAAATGATGCAAGGCCAAACCACCAAGAGATGGACTTTGAGGTCCCAGCTCTCTTTCACTGATAACTGAGGGACAGAAGTCCTTGCAGTCTGGCCAGTGAGGGCTTCTTGAAGACTGATAATGAACTTATTAGGTACTTTGAGCTGGAAAGGACTGTGATTAGAAACTTTCCCTATGGAAGATCCATATGATATACTGTATATGTGTGTGTGTTGATATAGCTCAATGTGTGAATCGTGTTACTTCTTCATAATGGTTTGAGATAGATCTGTAATACTATTTCACTTTTTTACTAATTACAAAAGAAATCCACACTTATAGTACAAAACTTCAAAAGCATAAATAGTATAGAAAAATAACACAGTTACTGTTTCTCATTTTCATAACATTTGTTAGACTCTGGTATACTTTTCCATTATTTCATTTGTATATTCCCTCTGACCGAGTTGATACTTACTGGGTATACAATTTTACAGGAAACTTTTTTTCTCTGATGGAAATATCTTTGAACTATCTAGACAAAGTATATTGACTGATGAATTGCTGAACTCTACATCTGAAACTAATGATGTACTATATGTTGAATTTAAATTTAAAAAAAAGATCAAAGATAAAGAACTAAATAGGGAAGAGAAATTGTCATGGGCATCTCATTCCCAGAGGCAGCATAATGGAGTGGAAATCCACTGGCTAAAGGAAATCTTCCCTCATCATTCTGGTTTCCTGCTCAACCCTCAAACCTCAGCCCGCTATGTGGGTACAAACAGAAAACCCCAGCAGAGGTGCTGGTTCTGCAAATGGCTGTATGGGCTTCATTTCCCTCATATCTAGATTAAAATATAGAAATAGGTATTTTCCGGGGCGCCTGGGTGGCTCAGTTGGTTAAGCAACTGCCTTCGGCTCAGGTCATGATCCTGGAGTCCCGGGATCGAGTCCCACATTGGGCTCCCTGCTCAGCAGGGAGTCTGCTTCTCCCTCTGACCTTCCCCCCCTCATGCTCTCTCTCTCTAATAAATAAATAAATAAATAAATCTTTAAAAAAAAAAGAAATAGGTATTTTCCAAGATGACTTACAGGTGCAAAAGTCTACACTGTATAATTAGGAGCTGGAGAGAGCCATTTATTCCTGACTATTAAATAAGACAGGTAGGTGAAGATAACTGTGATGATCAAACCTTAATGACTGGCAAGAATTAGGTTTATATTTTGAGTCTTAAGTATGGAGATATGTTCTTCATTTAGTCTGGCAGGTAGGTTCCTAAAGGGGTGCGTTTAGTACTACTTGGAAATTAAATCATGGTGCCCAGTTTCCTGACTGTATCATCCCAAGCAACTTATCTTCATCCAGTAGAAGTGCGCCAAGGGTAGTTTTAAGTTTTTAGATTCCTAAGCCTTCCTACCTGTAATGAATGATTCCAAACTATTTAGCACTCTAAGGAAAACCGAAGAGCTATGCTTTGTAGTAACTGTGTCATGGAATCTTTTCTAAACTGAATGATCACTTAATTTACTTGAGATTTAGGTTTGGAATAAAAATTTATGGCAATTTTAATTTTCCAATATGAAACATTTAAATTTCTCTATTTCTCAAAATTTGTTTGTTATCTTAATAAACTAAGAAATTCTTTCTTCCTTCCCTCTGCTCATCCCTCTCTCCCTCCCTCCTCTTTCCTTCTTTCTTTCAACCAGTGTTTGTAGTTCTTTCTATATGCCAGACTCTATGTTACAGAGTCTTGGATAATATATATATATATCCCTGATTCTTTGGAATTGCTGGCAGGCTCTGATTGATTGATTGATTGATTGATTTTTAAAAGATTTTATTTATTTATTTGTCAGAGAGAGAGCACAAGCAAGGGGATGGGCAGAGGGAGAAGCAGGCTCCTCGCTGAGCAAGCTAAAGGGGTAGATGTTATCGCTTATTGGGAAACGCTTGGAAGGAACAAAGCAAGTCCTACAGTGATGATGCTAGTCTCATGTCTTTCTAAAATTCAGATTACAGTCATTTTCATTTTGTAAAATACTCCCCTTTTCAGATTTATTAAGATATAATTGTCATATCACATTGTGTAAGTTTACAGTGTATAACATGATTTGATACACATATATATTGCAAAATTATTATAACAAGGTTAGTTAATATCTTTATTACTTCACATGTTTACCATTTGTGTATGTGTGTGTGTGATGAGAATACTTAAGATCTATTCTCTTAGCAACTTTCAAGTGTATAATACAGTATTATTAATTATAGTCACTATGCTTACATTAGATTCCCAGAAGTTATTCATCTTATAGCTGCAAGTCTGTACCCTTTGATCAACATCTGCCTTGGCTATTGTGAGTAATGCTGCAGTGAACATGAGAGGGCAAATATCTCTTCAATATCTTGTTTTCATTTCCCTTAGATACATACCCAGAGGTGAGATGGCTGGCTCTTATGGTAGTTTTGTTTTTGATTTTTTAAGGAACCTCCATACTGTTTTCCATAGTGGCTACACCAATTTACATTCCCATCAATAGTACATGAGGGTTCACTTTCTTCCATATCCTTGTCAAAACTTGTTATCTCCTGCCTTTTTGATGATAGCCATTCTGACAGGTGTGAGGTGATATCTCATTGTGGTTTTGATTTGCATTTCCCTGAAGATTAGTGTTGAGCATCTTTTCAGGTACTTACCAGCTATGTGTTATTTTGTCTTTGGAAAATACCTATTCAGCTCCGCTGCTCATTTTTTAATTGGATTTTTTTGGTTGAGTTGTATGAGTTACTTATATATTTCAGGTATTAACCCCTTATTAGATATATGATTTGCAGTATTTTCTCCCATTCCATTGGTTGCCTTTTGATTTTGTTGGTTGTTTCTTTTGCTGTGCCAAAGCATTTAGTTTAATATAGTCCTGCTTGTTTACTTTTGCTTTTGTTGCTTGTACTTTTGGTGTCATATCCAAAAAAATCATTGCTAAAACCAGTGTGAAGAAGCAATCTTGAGAAAGAAGAGCAAAGGTAGAGGTATCACACTTCCTGAGTTCAAATTATATTACAAAACTATAGAAATCAAAATAGTGTGGTACTGGCTAAAAACATACAGACCAATCAATAGAACAGAATCGAGAGCCCAGAAATAAACCCATGCATAGGCAGTCAACTAATATTTGACAAGGGAGCCAAGAACACTCGATGGGGAAAGGATGATGATCTCTTCAATAAATGGAGTTGGAAAAACTGGATGTTCACATGCAAAAAGAATGAAATTAGATGCCTATCTTATACCACTCACAAAAATTAACTTGAAATGGGTTGAAGACTTAAATGCAAGACCTTAAACCATAGAGCTCCTAGAAGAAAGGGCAGGGAAAAGGCCCTTTTAATTAATTGGGCTTACCTCTGACTGAGGGATATGTTGCACTAACACTGAAAGACACTCTTGGCTTCTTTTCACTGTTTAGAAATATGCTACTTATGAATTGTTGGGGAAAGGCTGCCTGCAGGTGAGTCTCAGAGGAGAAATGATTATCTTCATTTTTATATATTGAGACTGATTTCTCAGTTGAGCCCCTGCCATGTTATAAAGGTTGACAATTACTGAAGTGTAGTGAAAAGAACATGAAACTGGGTGATTCAAACCCTGGCCTCATCTTTGCTTGACCCCTTTTTCCCTGAGCCACTGTTTATTCTAGAAGGATGGGGATAATCATACTGATCTACCTTACAAGGTTTTTGTGAGAGTTACAGATAAAAGAAGTCCCTAGCCCACACAGACAGGCACATAGTAAGCACTCAAGGAATAGTATTTTTAAAAATTGCAATACCAGCAAGCATGTACCTGTTTGTTTATTAAGAAGTCAGGAAGGGGCGCCTGGGTGGCTCAGGTGGTTAAGCATCTGCCTTCAGCTCAGGTCATGATCTCCAGGTCCTGGAATGGAGTCCTGACTCGGGGCTCCTGGCTCAGCGGGGAGTCTTCTTCTCCCTCTCTCTCTTCCTTTCCCCCTGCTTGTGCTATCTCTCTCTCTCTCTTTCTCAAATAAATAAATAAATAAATCTTAAAATAAAAGGTCAGGAAGCAGTTCTAGACACATACCATTGTTAGGTATTTAGTGGATTTTATATATTTTTGTCATAAACATCTATCCTGCTAACTGCCTAGTTTAGCAAGTTTGCAAGTTAGAAATGCTGTAGATGAGATTTTTTTTTAAAAAACCTGTACACCATTTGCATTTTGGAATTCCTTAGCAGAGAGGCCCACACTGAATTGAAGGTGTTGCTGATAATGTGCCATTCATAATACCTGGTGGGAGAGCTTACCCTTAGTTTCACTGAAACCTTATTTTCAGGGTATAATCTGAGGAAGGAGAGCTGGACTGTCAGAGCTCACGAGCCCCCATTTGAATTGTGCATAGATATGCCAGACCTCTCTGCTCAAGCCTTGAGAAATCAAGTGTCTCCTTTCTCCTAGGGTTTTAAAGATCCTGTGTATCGAGCCAGACGAAAGCAGTTTGCTGACATTGCCTACAACTACCGACAGTAAGTCCGCTTTGCTTGTCTAGGGGAAGAGAGAAGAGCACACTCCTAGCTTACCTTTTCCTCGCCCAAGTTTGGAAAATACTAGCATAGAGAGTCCTGGTGTGTGTGTGTGTGTGTGTGTGTGTGTGTTTAAACCCTCCCTTTAATAACACATGTTTAAAAAAAATGCTGCTAGACAAAACAAAATTACCCACTGAGCAGGGGCCCAGCTCTCTCCCCAGCTTTGTTGCGTCCTTATGCACTAACGTCTGAAGTAATTATAAAAGGCCTCAGCCCTGAATAAAACAGCCTCTGGTATTCTCCACATTAAACAGGGAAGAAGGAAAAAGAGAATCATTTACATTCAAGGAGGAGTTGGCTGCTTTACTGAAATAATGAATCATTTGAGATTTCAGATGAGCCCTGCCTCAGTGTTCTACTTTTATCTGATCTGACCCAGCTGCGAAGGGCAATTTTCTGATGAGTTTATTTTTTTTCTGTCTGGGATTCTACCCTATTTTAGCCAAAGGAAAATGCAAGTATCAAAGATGTCATTTGGGAAGAGAACTGTTCTTGCTATTTTGAGTCCTCAGGAACTACAGAAATGCTACCATGGGACATTTAGTATTTGAGGCCTGAGCTCCATTCCTGAGTTAAGGACAGGAGAAAAGACAGGCTCAAGAAGAGACTTAAAACTTGACCAGAGCCCTAAGGGAATTGTACTTGAACAGCTTTGATAGAATATGAGGGAGATAAAGAAGAGGATAGGGCTCTGTTTACTGGATACAAAGTTACCTACCTTCCAGATGGAAAGACCTCCAGAGAAAATAAGAAAATTCCCTTCTCTGAATGACTTCCGGCAGTGGAAAGATCCAGAACTTTGCTGACCTTGCTTAAATCTAGGCCCATTTGGGCCTTGGCTTGTAACAAGCAGGAATCACAGAACATGGCAACCCTCCCTCCCACCCCCGTCCCTATATTTGCTTTAGCATGGTCAGGTGGACACCATCAAATCAGGTACAGACATGAGCCCTTTTTCAGGTAATAAATAAAAATATATTATATTTATGATCTCCTTGCTATGTCTGGGGTTTTGCTACATGCTTTGCTTCCATGATTTCACTTATTCTTAGTAATAACTCCTTATGTTTCAGATTGGAAAACTAATGCTCCATGCAGTTAAGTAACTTGCCAAGGTCATATAACTCGTAGGTGGCATCATCCACTTTTGTATTCAGGTTTCGTTAACTCCAAAACATTCTCACCCTCTTCCCTGAATGCTGGGATTCTCAGAATGAGGAGATCACACTTTTCCATATAATCCAGGAGCTGCTTAGGAAGTATATTCAGTTATTGCTTGGCTGTTGGGATTTGAAGGAAGAAACTGAACCCCTAACCAGCTTTCCATAAAAATGTTAAACCTAATGAAGAAGCATGGAATTGATTGAATGCCTCACCATCCTGGATGTTTATCAAGTAAGTTAAATGGATTATTGAAAACCATCCATGGGTGGCTGGCTCTCTGAGGAATGTTAGAGATCTTCTAGTCAATTTCTTGATTTTTACAGATGAATCTCAGATTGTTAAGTGATATGGGCCAAGGTGATGTGGCTAGTAAGGCTGAATTTGTTCTCAAATTCAAAGCCTAGTTTTGAAATGGTCTCAGCTCAGTATCTGGCACAGTGGCTTCTCATTATTCAAGGATTACTTGCTTACATTTATTTGAGACTTCCAAATCAATACTTGTGGCACTTCTGCGATCATTCCTAGACATGACAAGAATGGGGAAAAGTTTGAGTTGCCTGATACACAAGTTTCCAGGTTGAACAAGGTGACACCACTTTCTTATTCCAGCTCTCATCTGTAAACAACTATTCTTTTTGAGATCTATTTAGATTAGATCCACGTTTGCCAATTTTTTGTACTTTTTATTGGCAATTTTGCTGTTTAAGATGGCCCCCCAGCGTGGTGGTGAAGTGCTGTGTGGGGTTCCTAAGTGCAAGAAGGCTGGGATATGCCTTATGGAGAAAATACATGCATGTTAGGTAAGCCTCATTCAGGCATGAGTTACAGTGCTGTTGAGTACAACGTTGATGACTCAACCATATGTACTAAATAAGATTTCTTTATATAAAAGCTCACACAAAACAAGATTAATATTGTCATTTGACTAAAATGTGACCAGAAGCTCATGGGACCCAAGTCCTGGTTTCCTTTTGGACAAATGGTTCAGTGTTCAGATGACTGTATGTAGCGTAACTACCATATATAATGAGAATCGAATGTATTGAATGTATTCCAGTCTCTACTGGTTTCCCTCCTTCCTTTCTGAGGCTTCTCAGTTCTCCCTGGCCTGTTCATCCCACCCCAGAAGTTATAATGTCTTTCAGGACTAAACTTTGGCCCTCTTCCTTGGCTTCTGCCACCCTCCATGCCAATAGCCCCCACATTCAGATCTCTGGCACTTTGCCATTCATTATTCCACAAAGGGAATAAAGCACAAACTCATGCATCATGAGTCATAGAATCACAGGATATTGATCAGGTGATAAGATATATCTATTAAGTTCCAGAGCCTACCCCAAGAGTAAGACCAACAGAGACCATGTCGTCTGGGGAAACACTGGGAAAGACAATGACAAAAGTAACAATAAATACAATAGGTATACCAAAGTCAAAACTCAGGTGTCATAAGGCATATCATTAAGAGTTTAAATGTAGACTGAGCAAATGGGTCAGCCAGATGTAAAGTTTAGGCTGAGAATTAAAGATTGAGTTGGAATTTATAGCCAAAGAGAATGGGGGTAGTGAATGAAAGGGTGGGTCTGGTTAGCTATGGGGCTTTTGTTTTGAGATGTGAATATTTGGAGTCAGAGTGAATTACTATAGAAAATAAAGAAGCAGCTAAACCCCACCACTGCTAGCTACCCTCTTCTCTGCCCATCTGCCATATAATGCTCTGACTCCCCAACCCAAGAACATTTAATAAGTCTTAAAACATCAGTTTGAAGAGGCACTGACAAATTACAGTTGTACTTTGGGGCACCAAATTATTTGTCTTGTAATAATTACATGAATGGGAGGACCTGGAGTAAAATAAGACACCAAGGAGAGGGAAGGCTGTGCCAGGTGCTGGAGTATATTGAATGCCATATTTGGTTGACAGAATAATTCAGAAAAAATGTCTTCTACTTAAAACTTCTTTTTTTCAAGAGGAATCCTAACTGGCTTAACCAGAAATCTCCTTTTTATTTCAAACCAAACTGACACTCTTCCTAAAATATCTTAGTTTATTTTACTTAATGAGATCATGACTTGGTAAAAATAATTGATAATTTCTTCAAAGACCAAGGATCTTATAGAACCTCAGGTCTCTTGATGGAAATAGAAGATGGAATAAAATGTGCTGTGTTTAATTCCTAAGTAGACCATGGAAGTTAGTGTGTATGTGTGTGTGAGAGACAGAAAATAAATTCTGAAATATTTACTATATCCAGGCAACACTTGAGATATGATCTATTTGATTACCATTACAACATTATAAGATAGATTTGATTGTCCTTCCTTATAGTGAATGTACATATGGCCCAGAAAGTGACAATAACTCGTTCAGGGTCCCACACACTTCCCTCCCTCCATCCCTCTCTCTGACTCTAGAGTCCTCTATGTTGGCCTTAGTCTCTGGCATCTCTCTTGGAGGTGAGCCCAGTGCCACCAGGCTGAAACCCTAACTCAATCAGAGGTTCTATCTCTTTCCAACAGAATTCACACAGGTTTTCTCATTGAGTCTCATTGGCTCTGATTAGGACATGGGCCCATCTTTCAGCCAGTCTCTATGACCAGGGAAATGAGACAGTCTAATTAGCCAGACCTGGTCACATGCCCAGGTGGGAGTGGTGGAGTCTCCTCCCACCTGAGCCTCACACTGAGAGGGGAAGAGGGTGATTTACTGAAGGAATGAGGAAGGGATATTGAACCCCTAGAACAGCAAATATCAACCAGGGGGACATCTTTGTACCCAGGATGTTACTATCTCTTAAAAATTTGTTACAAAATAGCAAATACCTTTCTTTTTAAATAAGAATCAGTTATAATGATAATTATCCATTACCCAATGGTATTATTGATCAGCACCAATATTAGGTACTTTATACATAGTATTTCACCTAATTTTCTTCTAATACCCTTCAAATAGTTACTTATTATTAACCCATCTAATAACAGCACAGACTAGGCCTAGAGAGGTTTATTAAATTTCCAGAGACTATCCAGCTAGGAACTGGCAGAGCCAAGTAGTGAACCCATCTCTGTCCATGATCAAAGCCTGCTTTTTCCCTCCAGCAGCTTTTGGCCTTAAAATAATGGTGCATCCTCAGGCAGGGGCTTACCTGATGTTCTTTTCACAATTCCTAATGGTCATTACAGAGTCTTCTGAGGTTGTCCTACTTTCAATTCCTAAGCAAAAAACTATCATTTTTCCCTAATCCCTGCCCACCTTTCTGGGGAACTTACAGTGCCTTTGCTTTAATGTCCTTGGATGAGCTACAACTTTGAAAGGGCAGGAGAAACCTTACTTTGGAGCCTGAAGATGATCCATAATTCTGAAGTAAACAGTGCTGCCTTGTTCCCAGACACTGTGTACACTGTTGGGAAATAGGCTTGCAGTGCAAAGAACAGTGACTGGTTTTTAAGGTCAGGCTTTGATTTTCATTTGTTTTTACTGTTGAGAACACAGCTTATTCTTAGATGTTTTTCAAAAAGACCTTGCTTGGAACTAATGAGTCTCAAGCAATACTATGTCCCCTGGAAGCTTATTGGAATCCAGATGCCTTGGCTTTCCCTCCCCAAAAGATGCAGGATCTGTGGGGCAAGGTCCAACACATGTACTTTAACCAGTTCCCTGTAGTTCTGTTGTGTCATAGCAGAAGATGTGCATAAGTGGATCTTATACCTAGCCTGCGTTTAAATACCATTATAGCTTCCTAAGGTCAGAAATATCAAATCCAGCAAGTGCATGCCCACCAAAAGGGTCTCAAACTCATGGTCCACAAATTAGATCCACTTTATCCCACAGATATAATTACGTTAGTTGACACAATACAACACATGATACTGCTCTACTTGAACTTGGATGCCTTTGTTTAGAAAGAGGATGCATTCTTCAGTTGTCTCAGCTCTCACCCTCTTATTGTCCATACCTGCTACTTTACCCATTTATGTTACCTGCTGGGTCCCTGAAGTTAAGTGAACTTCCACCCTGGGTAAATAATTGGAGAGATAGGGGAACAGAAAGGCCAAGTGATTTTCCAAAGTGAGAACAAATCTTTGGTGTGGTAGGTGAGCTGAGAGCTTGGATCATTGCTTAACCAAATTACATGAATGTTTCCTATATCATGAAATAGAGTTTTCCTCTTTCAGATAACTTATGAAATCCCCTGCAGTCCAGGTGACAGCAGCTCAGAGACTCTGCACCTGTCTCTCTCTGCTAATGCTCCTTCTTCCTCTTCTTTACACCTGCCCTGCTGGAGACAAATATTTCATGCCTGTATTCTAGTGGTCAGCCCATACCTCAAGTGGAATACACGGAGGAAGAAAAGAATACATGGGGACTGGTATTCAGGACCCTGAAGTCCTTGTATAAAACCCATGCTTGCTATGAGCACAATCACATCTTCCCACTTCTGGAAAAGTACTGTGGCTTCCGCGAAGATAACATTCCCCAGCTGGAAGAGGTTTCTCAATTTCTGCAGAGTAAGTCCACTTCAGGGACAAAAGGGGAGGAGGGGGAGGGAAGGGAAAGGGAAGAAAGTAAATTGAAGCTAGTGTGTGTGTTTGTGGTAATGCATGCAGGTTGATTCTCCGAAAAACATTTCACTGCTGTGTTCTGTCTCACGACTAGCTTCCACTGTTCGTCCCACTCTCATCCAAGACAAGGCATCATGTATGGATTTTGCCATATCCATGTCTCTGAAAAACACTTTTTCGCATACTCAAAGCCCCAGGTGCCCAGGCAAGGCTCTCCTTGTAGTTCCTGCTGTGTTGTGAGATGGCTGCAGTGTGCATTTGTGTAAGAAATGTGCTCTTTGTGACAATGCCAAGAGCCCTGAGCTCTAAGTCTGTGCATCCAACTGGTATGACTCTTGCTTTGTCCCTCTCTATTTGGGGGAAACTGCCTCAGTTTAGTCATCTGTCAAATAGACTGTCTCTTAGGGAAATTGTGGGAATGAAATAAGACATTGCAAGTGAAAACACCCAGCATGGTGCTACATATAAAATAGGTGCTCAGTGAATTGGGACTGAATTGGAATCTGAGTAACTCTGTGGGGAAATACGTTATTGGGATGACTGGCCTCTGCACATCATTTCCAAGTGAGATAAGTATTTTCCTTTCTGCCAGGAGGCATTAATTCAGCAAAACCAAAATAAAACTATCAGCTAACACATATTAAACACTTAGTATGTGCCAGTATGTGCCAGAATGAGAGAAAGTAGGAAGACAGACCACAGGTTTATAGAAATGAAGAAGTTTCTATGCCTCTGAGCTATATGGAGATGGTATGGTCAGCTCTGGGGCAAGGAGCCAGGGAGATTATGTGGCAGGGAGAAAAATGGTAGCTGGGTTAGATTGGGGATGGGTTAGATGACCTTTCAGGTCCCTTCTATTTGGACAGTCTCTACTTATCAGATAAAGAGGGGAATGAGAGGCCAAGTGGAGTGAATTTCAGCCTGAAGATCCAGGAAACATAGGCACAGGGGCAAGGATGTCCTAACGACATTCTCTGGCTAATTATCCATGTTTCCATGGCCAATAGTGAGATAATAAAATGGTAATACTAGCAGCTGGAGCATTAATGAGAAGTAACTAAGGAATAGACTTTGAAGCCAGACTGATTGTAGTTGTGACCTTGGACAAGAACTTTAACTTCTCTGTGTCTCAGCTTCCCCACCTGTAAAGTGGAAATAATATGAGCATCTACCTCATAGGGTTATTAGGAGAACTAGTTAGTATTTATAAAGCGTGTAGAACAGTATCTGACATATGGTGGGCAGTATATAGTGTTAGCTATCATCATCATCGTCATCATCATCACTGTGATTATTATTCTCCTTCCAAGTTTGAAACAAATTGAGAGCCAGAAATAGGAACCAGAGGGAGGATAAAAAAATCAACTTTATTACTGATTAAAGCTACTTGGAGAATGTAGTATGGCTGTACAAACAAAATGGACTTTCTAATATTTCACCTCTGAATTATGTAAACTTTTTTACCAATTCACTGGTGAAGTGTATATTCTATTGCATGGCCCAGAGCAGACCAGAATGTGCTCCTCTGTGGGCAATCAGGAGAGAAAGGTCCAAAGGGATCAAATTGAGAATATTCATTTTCTCTTCCCAAATGCTCCAATCAGAGAAGTCCTTGCTCTTTCTATGGTGTAGTGTGTGAAGGGCAGTAGAGAAGCTGGAAGGGTTCCTCTTATACGCTTCCCTTCTGGAAGTGGAATGAAAACCCTCCCCTACTCTAGAGACATGAGAAATAAGGAACAAACGTTTCATCCTAATAAACAATAATGAAAGCTAAATTTATTAAATACTCCAATGTGCTAGGCTCTGTGCTAAGTACTTTATATTTATTAGCTCATTTGATTCTTGGAATAACCCTAGTGAATACCTATCCACATTTTGCAGAGGAGGAAATGAGGCTCAGAGAAATGAAGTTATTTGATCCAAATTGCCCAGGTACAAGGTGTAGAGGCAGAGATGTGAAGCCAAGTCTACTTGGCATCCATACCCATGCTGCTAGATGGTTGGGAGTATTGCTTTCCTACCTAATGGTCTTCAGGCGCCTCTGGCTCTGCCATGATAGGCTTTGAGTTTTCTTTCTCTGCTTTGCAGCGTGCACTGGATTCCGCCTCCGACCTGTGGCTGGCCTACTTTCCTCTCGTGATTTCTTGGGTGGCCTGGCCTTCCGAGTTTTCCACTGCACTCAGTACATCAGACATGGGTCCAAACCCATGTATACCCCTGAACCGTGAGTATTCTTCTCCTGCTACCAGTATCCAACCACAGTGAATGCCATTACTCACTGCTCCAGGAATGAGGTTTGGGTTCATGGAAGGCTGATCCACAGGACTAGTTTTCTGGATGGTTTGATGGTAGCACAAAGAGAGGGATCATCTCTCCAGGGTATTTTCTCTGTCCAGTAGACCATACTGATAGGAGATTTGGGTATCTTGTGAACTACACATTCAGATCTCCCTTGGCCATGGGAATAAGAGGTCACAGTCAAGCTCCAAAGGGATTATAAGAGTCAGAACTATGATGTTCCAAATGTGAACAGGAACAAATGGTGGCCAAAGTAACTCAATAACTTCAGAATATACATCTAGATGATTATAATCTTCTTATGTCTAGATGAATCTTGTCTGGAGATAGAGAATGGCTGGACACTGAGCCCCTTTTGTTGGCATTTAGCCATCTTCTTAATCAAATAGGACTTACGCAATTTATACAAAAAGTCAGTAGGATGCCCAAAATGATTTTTTTCCTGTCCACAAAGTTTATAACTACAAATCAGAAAAGACCTATTCCTAATGAACCTGGCACATAATATGTTAAATAAATGTAAATTTTCTTCTCTGACTATTGCCCCCCTCTAGAATAAGAAAAGAACAGCACTGTTTTTTTAATTTAATTTTTATTTCTTATGGGGAATACCTGAGCACATTGCATCTGCCCAGGATGTCAATACCAAGATGAAGACTTGGGATGGGAAATGTTCATGACCCACAGCTTGCTCAGGTATATAGGAGGAAGTCCATAGGAATTTTGGCTCTTCTGTTCGGAACCCCACTGAACATACACTTAAGACCCCCTGGTTGTTGTTCCCTGACTTGCCCCTTACTTTTCTTTCCCCTTCTTCCTTTTCTTTTGTACCTTGCCTCATCTGATCCCACGCTTTACGTACCACTTATGCTTGGGAATGAGGTCATAAACTTCAGTGGCTCACTTCCTTTCTACCGGCTCATTTCTCATATAGAAAGACTGAGTCTGATTTGGCTTATAACACGCCTTATCTCCAAGCTCTGTGCTTTCTGTCTTTCAGTGACATCTGCCATGAGTTGTTGGGACACGTGCCCTTGTTTTCAGATCGCAGCTTTGCCCAGTTTTCCCAGGTGAGGAATGGATCCTTTTGGCCTTTTAATTATACGATTGAGACCTAGATTGCTTAAGTGAATTGAATCTATGGAGGGACCCTTGTGTCCTCTGCAAGGTTAGAAACCCGATACAGTTCTGTGATCCCACCAGAGATGGGCATATGGTCCCACGGAGATGGCTAAATACCCATTCCAGGGATCACAGCATGGGGGTGGTGAATCACTCATCCTCTGAATTATATATGTGTTGTTGAATTTGCTAATCTCAGTTGTCCTTCCGGGTTTAGTTTAAGAGCCTTTTCATCCAAGAAAGCCTGCCTGATCCCCACATAGGAATAATCTTACCTTCTTCCAAGTTCTCCTGGCACCTTTCCCCTCCTCTTTAGGACCTTGCCATTTCCTACCTTGTCAGGCAGTCATTTTTATATATGCTTTATTTAAATAAGAAAATATTTGCTGAGAATCCAATTCCAATAGCCCAACTCATAGTTGGCAAAAACTGATGTGTCAAATGTCTTGCTATTATCATCAAAGCAATAGGCTAGCCTTGATTCCTCTATTACAGTGGTGAGCTTTTTACATGAGAGAAAGAATCCTAGTAATTCCTTCAGAGCACTGAGAGGCTAAACCATGGTTGGGTAGCTGGGATCATGGGAAAGGTGAATGAAGCACGCACACACCCCACCCTGCCACCAAACAGCTATGTGACCTGTTTCCACAAATGAGAATCAATAGGAAGCTTTGACTGCCAATCTTCTTCCTCATAGGGAAAGATAAAGATCAAATGGAATGAGTCATAAGCAAATACTGCAGCAAATATGAATTTCAGAGTAATGGGATTGTGTATGAATTTTATAAGCCTTTTCCCTCAGCTGGAAGAAATAAATACTTTCACTGTTGATTGAAGAGGTTACCACTTAATATCTGAAACAAACAAACAAACAAACAAACAAATAAACTGTTGCTTTTATGTGGGGTTTTGGGAACTGTGGTGTTTAGAGATTGTTGGACTTTTACAAGTGGAGTGTTTGAGGATTAGCTGAACTTTAACTCGGAAGTATCACCATTGGACTGAGGCTATTGTTGACTGGCTAACTTTCAGAAGCATGGTTCCTTCTGTCAAGATGTCATTAATTGCTTGAGACAGCTTTAAAACTGGGATTTGTTCCTATGGCCAAAGAATTATTAGTGATTTCCTTAGAGAATAGGAACTTTTTATTCTCACTACCAGAAGCTATTCTGCTTGGTCAGAGGCTAAGTGACAATCCTCCTTAAGCCATTTCCATTTGGGGGAGCCCCCCCAGAGGAGTGTACAATTACCTGAGTCAACAGATGGATGCTACTGGTCCATCAGTGTTACACATCTCCAACTTACACCTGGACAGTCCCAAGGCAGGGTGTCATTTTGAAAGTTCCCTGAGCACATTCTTTTTGGATCTAAAAGGAGGACTTGCTTCCCACTAGAGTGCAAGATGGGATGGGGATGAAACACAGAAAAATCTTGGGACCCCTTGTTTTAAGCAAGCTTTGGGCTCACAAAGAATGGTGACCATGAGAACAGAGCACTGTTTCAATGTCTTCTGTTAGACTGTGGCATGCCTGGATAGGATGGCTGGAACAGAGATGGGGGCAGGGGCAAGAGAGGAGAGCCAAACTGTCTGAATTTAGTTCACTCTAACTCAGCATTTTCTTAGTATGTAATATGGGCCAGGCTCTGAGTTTGGCCCAGAGAGGGATACAGAGATGAAGACCATGTAGTCTCTTGCTTCAAAATAAGCCCAATCCTTAGTCCTTCTCTGTCTACGCCAATTCCTTTGGCTATCTCACCCAAACTCATGGTGTTAAATATCATCTCTATCCTGCTGATGAACACATTAATATCTTCAGCTCAGACCTTAGTCCCCAAACTCAGACTTATGTATCCAAGCACCTACTCAATCTCTCCACTTGGATGTCTATTACACATCTGTATTCATCCTGTTCAAAACTGAATTCCTGATCTTCCCATTCAAGCCTTCTCCAACCACAGCCCTCCTTATGTTAGTTCATGGTAACTCCAGCCTTTCAGTTGCTCAAACCAAAAGCACTTAGGGTACATTATTGCTTCTTCTTCAAATACACGTAACCAATCTGTCTAAAAGTTGTATGTGTTTTCCCTTCAAAATATGTGTAGAATCTGACCATTGTCCATCACATCAACTGCTACCAAGCTGGTCTCAGCCACAATTGTTTCTCACCCTGGGGACTGTGGTAGCCTCCTATCTGGTCTATCTGCCTCTACTCTTGATCCCCTACAATCTGTTCTCACATAGCAGCCAGAGTAAATCTTGGATGACATAAATTAGGCCTTACCACTTCTTTGCTCAAAACCTTGCAGTGGCTCCCATTTCACTGAAAGGAAAATCCTAAAACCTAAAATAGCCAAAAAATGTTCTATATGACTGAGCTCCAGATCCCTCTTTGATACCACCTGCCACTCTCCCCACTCTTATTCTGTTCTAGCCATACTGGTCTCTCCCTGTTATTTGAACCTACTGACATTTCTCCTCCTTAGAGAGCTTTATCACTGACTATACATGTGGCTTATACAATGATCTTCCCTCACACGTCAGCAGAGCCAACAACCTCACTTCTATCAAGTCTTTGGTCAAATATCACCTTCTCAATTATGCTTGCTCTGAAACCCTATTCAAAATTGCAGGCCCTCCCCCCGACCCATTCTCCTGGCACTCCCACTTCCCCTTGTCCCTTTCTTCTTTTGTTTCTTCTTTCCAAATAACTTATTCCTTCTAATATACCTATGTATATGCTTATTATTTATTGTCTGCCTTAAATGTAAACACCATGATGTCCAGGACCTTTCTTGATTTTGTATACTGCCAACTATATAGAAGGCATTCAACAAACATTTTGGAGTGAATAAATGTATATAGTAGGGAAAGCAAATATATTTATTTGTGTATATACACTCTGTCTGATACAAAGCAGGCTGGAGAAAATGTTGTAAAAGGGACAAAGACAGACCACTAGGGGAATTCTGTAATTGGAGCTGCAATGAGAAGTGGTCCATAGTATTTCAGACTCTCTAGCTAGTATTTACCTGGATGGATGTCAAGCATTTCTCAGCAATTCTCCTCTGGTATCTTCATGATACATGATTAAGGCACTCATTTGTATGCCAGGAATGTTCTGCTTGAGCTATGGGAGAATAATCACTGAGCTGTAATCAAGGAATGAAACTTCAGACACAACCTACTGTGTGACCTTGAGTAGGTCAGCTCCCTTTTCTGTGCCTCAGTTTTCTCATTTGTAAAGTAAATACAAAAGACCAAGTGATGAAATAAGGTTTTCCTGCTATAGAGATCTATGATTCTATGATGTGTGACTAGGGAAGACCTAACAGAATAATCAGGGTCTATCTGGGCCCTTCTGAAGGCATCTGGTCACCCATCACCTGGCAAGTACAAGGTCGGAGCTGAGGGTGAAGTTTGAAGTTAGGCAGACCACAGCCATGCCAGTGACTCTGTTTCTCTACAATTACAGGAAATTGGCCTTGCCTCTCTGGGTGCACCTGATGAGTACATTGAGAAACTCGCCACAGTAAGTTCCCTCTGCCTCTGGTGGATAGTGAGAGTGCAATAGGCTGTAGCCCTCAGATATTCAAAGCTTTGATCCTCCCCTGAAATCCAGGTCATCTGGGGGAAGATATCAGAATATGCTGACTTACATTTACACAAATGAAATTTCACATTTTGATTTTTCCTTAATGGTCTGATTTTGAAATCAGCTACATGCAAATGTTTGCATGTAATTTTAAACAAAGTATCTTAAACAGGAATGGGCTGTAATGATAACCCTTGAGAACCTTTGGGCATAAAGTGTATGTGGGGGGAATAGCCTGGATTCATGGCTTTGAAGAGGAAATATTTACACACCTCTTTTGCACTGGATCTAGCATTAGGATCTTTCCTTTATTAGACACAAGGTTGGAAATGTGGGTGGGTTTTTCTCGTCTTATTGAACACTTCTCTCTCCCCAGTGAATGTGATGACACTCATCCATTGAAGCATAGAATCAACAACTCTTCACAGTAGGGGGTTTTCTTCCTACAGACTCCTTTCCAACTTGAGTTTATCCCTCCCCAGTGTCTGAGTCACATTTCTTACAATTTGTTCAGTCTGGAAGATGAAAAATAAAGCTTTGTAAGGAATTAAGGGACACAAATGAATGAGAATTTATCAATAAGATGTATCAGTTTAGAATTTTATGAAATCGGTTTAGAAGAGCAAAAATTTCCAGAAGTTTCTTTCTCACTGACCAGCTGCTCTGAGCCGCTGGGCAAGCAGCTTTTGCTTCCTCATCTCTAAAAATGGTTATATTAGTTTATATTCTGCCCACCTAAAAAGCATATCATAAGGGTCTGAAGAGTTAAGTGTGTGTGAACATAAATTTTTAAATGTTAGATTCTATATAGATGCAAGAAGCAGCTTTCAAAGAAGTTGAAGATCTTGGAATCTCTCACTTGTAGGAAGAAAACAAACTAAGAACTCAGAGCATCATGTTACCTGCTATGACAATGATAAAAGTATTCATCGCCAACGTAACTTCTCAAAAAACAAAAACAAAAACCTTACTATTGATACACTGGGCTGGGAACAGCTCTAGGTTCTTGCTCTGCCTTTGATTTGCTATGTAACTGGATGCATATTGCTTGACCTCTCTGGGCTGAAAACACATCATCTGTACGTGAGGAGGTGAGACTGATTAAGCTGACAGCCTTCCCAAGTTTCACATTCTTTAGTGCAATAAACAGACTTACCTCATAACCCATCCCTAATTCTCTAAGACCATGACTGTCTCCAGCATCTAACTGGGCCCAAGGTTTCTCTTGGCCCTGGTCAATAGGGTTATGCCAGAATTCCAGGATCACCTTCCTCAGGCCAGGCATCTAGGACATGTTGGACTGGGAGCTGTTTAAAGAAAAGGACTTGGTTATTTGAGAAGCATAAGTGCAGTTGTTGGCAGTACATCAGAAACACCCCAAGTTTTAGCATGAATGGCAGGATGCCCTCCATGATTTTATCACTACCTGGTCTTCTACCTCCCATGACTGAGCTTGATGGGTTTGCATGGTAAGTCTGACCAAATAAAAGGAACATCTCGTTATAGTTAATGCCACAGAGAAGAAAGCAAAAGGGGTTGAGGAATTCCTGTCATCTAGAGTTACCTTTTGGGGGTATCTTCTTGGGGCTTCCTCAGTACTCCCTCTCTGCTTCTTATCACATCTTACATTCAGCCAACTCTTGATTCAACCAGTGACTGGATAGAGTAAGACAGAACACGGAGAAGTGACCCCAGGTCATGGTGATTCAGAGAACAGACCTGTACAAACGCCCACCTGGACAGTCCCGTCCTTAGCCCTGGGGCATCTGCTGCCTTTCCCTTCCTTGGGGTGTGCTCTCAACCTCACTTTCCATTCCAGATTTACTGGTTTACTGTGGAGTTTGGCCTCTGCAAACAAGGAGACTCCATAAAGGCGTATGGTGCTGGGCTCCTGTCGTCTTTTGGTGAATTACAGGTATGACCCCATTAATACCCATTTTGAGATTTAACCCAGGGGTTAATCCTCAAATGATTGGTACCTTAGCAGCTCTGATTTGTTCATGACTTTGGGTGTTAGATGTAGAAATTGAACTGCAAGTACACAAGTCTACAAAACAGAAGGGCCTCCCAATCCCAAGGCTGAACTGTGCCTACAGATGTAGCAAATCCATGTGGTTGGCTCTCACATCCTCTATTGATCATCTCACATGAAAATGGCTAGACGGAATTACTCCTTTCTAGCTGGACTATAGGTTTTAGATGGGCTGTGAGGGTAGGATCTAGTATATGTGAAATAATTTAGTTTACTGCATTTGGGCTGGGGTGTGGAAGGAATCAGGATGAGATGGGAGGAGGTGCACAAACAGCCTATGGGAGGCAAAAGGAACCACTGACCCAGACTTACCTGTGAAAACTTTCCACTTGCTGCCTGCAGTACTGCTTGTCTGGTACGCCAAAGCTCCTCCCCCTGGAGCTGGAGAAGACAGCCATGCAGGAGTACACCGTCACAGAGTTCCAGCCCCTCTATTATGTGGCTGAGAGTTTCAATGATGCAAAGGAGAAAGTGAGGTGAGGTGGTGACCAAGGTGTGTCAAAAGATCTTGGGGACTCCTGATTTGGTCTGATGCCATTGATCTGTATGTGGTTGTCCAGGAGAGTGGACTCCAATGCTTATAGCAACAGTATGCAGCAGACAGAGCCTCCCCACCCTTTTCCTTTTCCACTTTATGTTTGGGAGGGGTTCCTTAGTGGGACCCCATTTCACAGATTATTGTCTGGACATGTTGACCCCTGCAGACAATTCTGCCACTGGATCCTTGTTTTAATGTAGCCACTAAGCCCAGACACTGAACTCTCTCCTGTGTACAGAGTAGCCACAGAAGGTCCCCAACAAATCATTCCTAGGATTCTTCTAACCTGGGGGAATTCCTTGTTCACTTTATTCTCCCAACATCTGCATAATTCACCCCCTTTGTTCCTTCAAATCTTCACCCACATTTAACCTTCTCTGTGTGTCTTTCTCTAACTAACCAACTTACTTAAAATCCCTACCCAGCCCCATCCCCACACTCCTTACGCCCTTCTGCAATTTATTTTTCTCTTTAGCACCTGCTAATGTTTAATATATTATATGATTTAAGCTCTATTTGGTTAGGAATTTTTGTCCTTTTTGTTTTCCTGTTCTTTCTGCAGTCTCTGGAGAAGTGCCTGATACATAGTAAGCATGCAATAAGTAATAGGCAAGTGCATTAATCTCAGAGACAATCCAGCAAAAGGCTGATGGGGATGGAAAGCTATCAGGACTCAGATTCTCAGCCCACTGAGCTGACAGCCCTGTCTATAATCCACTTGAGGACTCTCCTCCTAGCAAGAGACAGGCCAGGCAGAGGGTCTACCTGGACATGGCTATCCTGATACTCAGTGTTTGTTACCACTTTTTTTTATATCTTATCCATGAGGGATGATAGACATAGATATATAGGTTTTTGGGATCCCACGAAGCTGGGTATACCAGCTTCCACTGTGTTGAGCTCAGGTGATGGAAGGTAAAATGCTTGCCCACAGGTCCACATGGTTTGGCCTAAAATGTCTCCCTTCCTCCTATCTTTCCAGGGCCTTCAAGTTCTTTCAGTTATTCATTTCTAGTTATTTCCTAAATCTCCACTCCTTACTGGGAGTATAACCTTCCTCTAGCCCCTAAAGGTTCCTCTCTGCCATTTCTGGGACCCTTTTGGGGTTATGGATTTCAGTGGGTTTGTGCATTATCCCTCCTGGGTAATAATAATCAGAAGAAGAAGGAGAAGAAGAAGAAGAAGAAAGAGAAGAAGAAGAAGAAAGAAGAAAGAAGAAAGAAGAAGAAGAAGATTAAATGTATTAACACCTATTACCAAATACCAAATGTTCTAAGTTGTTTTTCATGTATTGATTCATTTAAACTTCAGATAAGACTATGAAGTTTGCAGGTGGGGTTCAGAATCATAGAAAGGGTAAAAGACTCACCCAGGGTCATACAGCTGGTAAGTGGCTGACCCAGGGTTTAGACCCAGGCAGTGGTGCTCAAAACAGGATCTATCAAACCAGGATCACATTTAAATGGGCCCTCCTGATGATGACTTTTTAACCCAGGAAGTGATCAATCCCAGACCAGCAGAGAAGAGCTTTCCAGAACCTAGACTTTTTGGGCCTTTGAAATCCCACCCGCTCTGTCAGTACCCACAGCCCAGAGGAGACACCCACAAAAACTCCATCCTGCTGAGAGGTGACTCACAGAGTCAAAGGGAATGCTGAAAAACAGGGTTCAGAAAAGGAAGGGATTCTCTCAAAGCCTCCCAGCTAAGAGAAACCAGCTTCAACCATTTTCAGTTTCAAGATTCAAGTTCTAGGCAGAAAGAAACAATGCTGAGTGGGTCATGTGCCCACTCTCTGGCTAGAGGAGGGGCTGGGCCCTGAGACTGACTGCCTAGATGAACCCCTCTCTTGGCATAGAGGCAGATTGCGTGAAGCAAAGATGAGGTAAACGATGGGAATAAGGAGGAGATGCAGAGCAGGCCAAATCACGGACATGCATTACATGCTTCATGTCACCAGTGGGGTTGAGAAAGCTATTTTCAGAGAAGTAGAGGTGGAGACATATACTTCACCATTTGTTCTTCTTGAGTCCCCAGTCACTAATGAAAGAGAACAGCTAACACTCATGTAGCACTTACTCTATACTATAACAGCACTTCCTATGACCCTCTCAGGTAGTACTGCTCTGTTCCAGTTGTATAGAGGAATGAGGACACCGAGGTGCAGCTTGCAAGGGCTGTCATTGGTAGAGGCAAGGTTTGAGCCCAGTGCCTGGCTCTGGAACTTGGGTTTCCAGCCATGATGATTCACCACTCTTGCCAAACTTGGAGAGCCCACTAGTTTCCCTTAGAATTGTCTTCTCAGTATGGCAGATTCAACTCTCACCAGAAGCCAACTTAGAAATATTATTTGTGATGCCATTGCATTTTATAGGTTATTGGGGGATATCTTATTATTTGCATTGCTTAATGTCCCTTATAAGGTCCTCCTGGTACATTCCTCCTAGACCCAGGAGTAATGAATGCATCAAGAAGACAAAGAAGTGAAGAACACAGGCCAGAGTCAGACTACCTGAAAAGGGTTTCAGCTGCACAATTTATTGCCAGTATGTCCTTGGTAGTCATTGAATCTCCCTAAACTTCAGTTTTCTCATCAGTAAAATAGGGATAGTAATAGTACCTTCCTTCTAAGGTTTTTATGAAGATTAAGTTAGGAATGATAGTTGTAAAAAGTATAGAACAATTAGGACCTCACATAGTTTTGGTACATAGGAGGCACTCAATTCATGTTAAGTTTCATTAATAACATAGTATTTTCTTCCATTCTTGAGAGCTGTGTTTCCCTCCTTGCATTGATTTCCAAGCATCTCAGAGCTTATTTTTTTCTATAGCATTCTTTGGCTAGATTTGTTTGCTCTTTTGATTTTATTTAATGGTAAGAATTTTGGCCTTACTGTATTCTGTGTGTTTGTATATACACCTAGACACATACACAGCACACAAGGCTTCCCAAAAGGATCTCACTAAAATTCCATTTCACTTCTCAGAGCCCCTGTTCTAGTGAGATTGAAGTGAAATGCCACTGAGAAATCTTTTAGAATTATTTTTCCCTGAATGGTGCCCTTTACTGAGCTTTGTGGATTTGGTTTCAGGAACTTTGCTGCTACAATCCCACGGCCCTTCTCAGTTCGTTATGACCCATACACTCAAAGGATTGAGGTCTTGGACAATACACAGCAACTTAAGATTTTGGCCGACTCCATCAACAGTAAGTAACTTACACCCCAGGAGGCCACTCTCTTTACCAGAAATAGAGAGTTGTATTTTCTTACCCTCACCATAGGAACAAAAAGAAATTTATTAAATATTGAATTAAGGAGAAAAGCACCTCCAGGTAAGCCTTTTGTTTGTTGAGGGAGAAAAATTAGGTAAAAAGGCCAGAATTGCTTGGAGTATCTTTTCTTCTTTGACCTTCCTAGATTCTATGCTACCTCCCACCACCATACCAGCTTTCCACCCTGGCTTGTCACTGCCATGTCCCTCTTTCTCCTTTGCCTCTCCAGTCTGTTTCCTTTAAGTGCCCAGTGGATATGGCTGTGCCTGGAATTCCAGCCCTTATAAGACAGGTTCTAGCTACTTTATTGGCCATCTAGTAGCTCAACCATCGGCCTTCCATGCTTCCAGGACAATGAGGATATTATAACAGTTGTTCATTTAAAAAATCACAGTATTACATTGCTCTTCACTGTATTTTCTTTCCAGTGCTTCAAACTCCCCTCCACAACACTGACCAGATTTTACTTCCCATACTCCCGCCTGGTTTCTGGCCTTTGCTCACGCAATACTTTATGTTTAAAATACTCTCATGCCCATTCTCATTTAGAGGTCCCCAATTCCAGTTCATCTTTTAAGTCTTTCATAGGTATCTCTTCTTGTAGGAAGACTGGTTTGGGTGTCTTTCCTCTCTTGGCATTCCTACAGATCCCTTTCTCAGAGCACATATCACTATATTGTTCTGTAATTGTTTACTTGTCTGACTCCCCAACAAGACCTGAGTAGAGGACCAGGTTGGGTTCACTGTCAAATCCCTGGTACCTAGCTCTAGTCCTAAAAAAGTATATTAGGTCCTCAAGAGTTATTAAATGGATGAATGAAACCATCAAAGGGGTGAGAAGCCTAAAGGGAGGAATTCTAGGTTAAGTGGAGGTTCCTACCTTATGTAACGCTAACAAAGGCCAAAAAGGCAGGTGGGCTTGAAGTATCCCTCTAATACCCCACTGATATTGCTTGTCCATCTCCAGGGCCCCTTCTACTTTTTTGAAGTGTTTTTGTTCCTGTGGCCCCTTGGCATTTGAGAATATGGCATGAATGGGAGCACCTCCATTGTAGTCCAGTGGTCTAGCAATCTAGGTTATCTGCTTAGACCATGCATTCTCAAACCTAGTGTACATCAGAATCATTTGGAGAGCTAGTTAAAAGTGAACAGTCCTGGCTCATAGCCCCAGACTAAATTTACTAAATTTGTGGTAAGTCTTGAGAGTTTGTATTTGTAATAAGGCCCTAGGTGATCCTGACACAGGAGGTTCATGTGAACCACACTTTTAGGTTTCATGGCTTAGGTCCTTGCAAACATCTATAGATGGTCCTGTAAAAGAAAAAGAGAGAAAACTGTTAACTCCTTCAATGGAAAGAGGAAGCTAATTACATTAAAACTTGTAAGTCCCCATGCTATAATTGCCCAAATCCTATCACCATAACTAATCTGTAAGCTCCTTGAAGGTTTGGGTGGTACCCAGCCTATCCATACATCCCACCAATCCCCTAAAGTGTTACACATTGTAGAAATTTAAAGGGTGTGTGGGCGCCTGGGTGGCTCAGTCGTTAAGCGTCTGCCTTCCGCTCAGGTCATGATCCCAGGATCCTGGGATCGAGTCCCACATCGGGCTCCCTGCTTGGCAGGAAGCCTGCTTCTCCCTCCCCCACTCCCCCTGCTTATGTTCCCTCTCTCGCTGTGTCTCTCTCTGTCAAATAAATAAATATGATCTTTAAAAAAAAAAGAAATTTAAAGGGTGTCTTCTCATGATGTAAGTGGCCCATTTTTTTTCTTTGTAGGTGAAGTTGGAATCCTTTGTAGTGCCCTCCAGAAAATAAAATGAAACCATGGACAAAACCTGTCAACTGAGAATCTGTTGCTGGAAATCCAACTACTTTCATTTCATCTGAAAAAGTTTGAAAAGCAAACCTTAATTTGAATTGATAGACTTAAATGCTTTTTGGAACAAGATGGAGGATGAACAAATAAATCAAAATAACTTGAAATGACATCATATTAATACATACCCCAAAGCATAATCTTTTGGGGTCATCTTTGATTTAGAGATGATAATCCCGTGCTCTCAATTCAATTAAAATCAATAATCTGTCACATTTCATCAAAGTTAATTAAAATTGGGACCTCATTTATTCAAGCTTCATATATGCTTTTGTTATTTGCCATAGAGAATTCCTAAAAGAATATATATCACTCGGGTGCCTGGGTGGCTCAGTTGGTTAAACGACTGCCTTTGGCTCAGGTCATGATCCTGGAGTCCCAGGATCGAGTCCCGCATCGGGCTCCCTGCTCGGCAGGGAGTCTGTTTCTCCCTCTACCCTCCCCCCTCTCCTGCTCTCTCTCTCTCTCTCAAATAAATAAATAAATAAATCTTTTTTTAAAAAAGAATATATATCACTCAATGTAAAACACAAGCTTGTCATTAGAATTGAATTTGTTGATTTAGTATAAATCTTAACCTACAAAAGTCATTTTCTATTTCAGTAAACTATGATTCTAATTATTGTTGTGTTTTACCCATGTAGATTTCCTTTAATTCAAAAGCCCATTAAAATAGTTATAAAGGTTGAAGTTCATAGCATAATATTGAAGCATTTCTGTATATTTTATTGTAATCATAAATACTGCCATAGAAGGTAATATAACTCCTCACCTGACTCCCACAACTTTCAGTATCATTTTCCAATTAATTGTCATCTGTTTTGTAGATATTTTGCAGACACATGTGATGCAACAGATGTTAACTGAAGGCTTGACTGGTAGATATTCAATAAATACTCATTGAAAGAATAAGGGAATACATTATTAAATAGTAAATCCTCAACATAAGTGAGAATTTTATGTTATGTTAAAAAAAGTCTAGTGGTTAGAAAATTTTGCTGTTCCAAATGTTTCTTGGAAGGAAATATTCCTCTCCATTGCCTTAGAAATACATTAACTGGATAATCTTGTGACATGAAAAAATGATCAGTCTCAGATTTCCAACCCATTACAGGAGTTCATTGTGATAATCCAAGTTATGTCTGGAGAGTCAACAGACTAACTTCTGTTGGCTGTACATTTTACACATACATGAGCATGAGTATCTGAGAAACAGTAGGGAGAATAACAGCATCTTTAAAGCTGTGCTTTGAAATTTTCACTCTAACACTTTATTTTGGAAATAGTTAAATCTTAAAGGACTTGCATAGTATTTCTTCACATGTGATTCTCAAACCAGCTGTATCATCATCAACAATAAATCCTGGGCACATCCCAGCTCTATCCAACTAGAATATCCAGGGAGGGAGCATTTTTAAGTACCCCAGGTGTTTTGTTTTTGTTTTGTTTTGTTTTTTGTGCCCAGTGAAGTCTATTGGGTACATTAAGTTTGAGAAAACGACTTCTGGTGGCCAGTTCTGCCAATTGCCAATTATGCCACCTTGCATAATTTACTTTGGATCTCAGTTTTACTTGAACAATGAAGGAGTTTATTTAACTGGATGAATGAAGTTTTCTTCCAGCCCTGAAATACAATTCAAATGCTAACATGTATCTTTAAACAGATGTCCCTGACCCACTAACTGTAATAATACCAGCCCAAATATGCTAGAACAATTTGGTCTGATTGTGTCTGAGATCTCATTGCTTTGAAGTTGGGTTTGCACATCTGTATTTATTTCCTCATGCCTCTGTAGAACCCACTGACAAACGCTGATTCTAAAAGTGGTAATGTTCTTTTATCTGTTTTTTAGACCCCAAACACCCTGCAAAGGGACTATTTTGATAAATGTTTCTTTACTTTATATTACTCTGATTTCTCTTCAGATCGCATAAATGTAAATTAGAGAAGTTCTTGATTTTGGAACTAAAATATTTTATAGTATTTTAGACTGGATATTTTATTTTGTAGTGCTTTTTAGTCTTACTGAAAAAAATTTAATGTGTTTGAAGTTAAAGCTTAGGTTTAGTTTGCAATTTTGCAGAAAAAATTACATACTGAATAGAAGATAATCTTTGATTTTTTAGTAATGTGTTACTCAGTACTTAGTTCTTTTTATCTGGATATAAAGCCCAACTTACAGCAATGGATTCAATATATTTTCATGTGTTAGTATTATCTCTTTAATATTTAGTAAATGGGCTGCTTTTTTTTTAGAAACAATAGTAATGCTTTACTGATAGCTATCCCTATTGTGTCCAAAAAAGAGAAATACATGTAAGAACATTAAAAATTTTTAGTATTAGTGTTCAATAAGTTTCTAAAAGGATCAATTTAAATTTTAATTCTAGGTTCCTAAGTTATATAGCTTGACTGTTTATCAAAGAATCTAACACTAAAATGTCAACTTCATAAAAATATGAACCTTGCCTGTCTTTACCTCTAGAAACCTTAGCATATAGTACATAATAGGTGCTTAATAATCCTTAAAAAAATTTCTGAGTGAGGTGAATCATAGGGAGTGTAGTGAAGATTGTCTCTCACAAACAAGCTATTTTGCAGGAAAACTTGAGAAACAACTAAATTTGCAATTTTCCCTTTAAAATGCTATAGAACATTTTGCATCTTAATTTAATTTTTTTTTAAGAAGATATTGTACCTTTAGAGTAGATTATGGCTAAGTAGTTTGTATTTATACTGTTGAACAACAACTTACATATGAAAGTACTTAATAAATGTTTGTTAATTAATAAAGGAAGCAAAATTGTATCAATAAAATGTTTCAGTTATCCACAGTGGAGCTGAAATGGTCAGAAAGCAATGAGTGCCTTGCCTAACAGTTGCAAAAAATTACAGAGGGGACAAAATAGGAGAGGCTATAAAAATGGACTCTGCAAAGGAAAGAGGAAAAAAAAAATGATCAAAGCTTCTTTCCAGTGGAGTGCGTACCCACCCACCCCCACCACACACACAAGATCCCTGCCTTTTAATAGTTTTCCTGTGCAGTTTCAAAAACTATAAACAGTAGTAGATTTGATATGTGCTAGTAATGGCTTTAATAGTTTCTGTGCTGTGAATTTTCTCATTTATAATCTCACTTTTAATTCTGCTAGCTCCAAGATACAGTTTACCTTCTCCTGTGTAGTAAGCTTAAAGAATAAACTCAGAGTGGTAAGTAATTGTAGAGAAGATTGAATCTAGCCTTTTAGTATATACATACAACTCTTCTCTACAATATGATTCATAGTTGTTCAGTATTGCTCTTCAACAATGTTTCTTTTGTATGTTTCTTGCACACTTTCTTTTATGACAATAGTCTCTAAGTAATAGAACATTCCTGAGAAAAAAGACAAAACGATGTACCTCCCTGAGTCCCAGGATCGAGCCCTGCATGGGGATCCGTGCTCAGCACAGAGTCTGTTTGGGATTCTCTCTCCCTCTCCCTCTGTCTCTCCCTCTGTGTGCTCTTTCTCTGAAATAAATAAATAAATCCTTTTTTTTTAAAGATATACCTCCCTGAAAGATGGATGGATTTCCTGAGTCTCCAATTTGAGGGAGCAAAGCAGGGAGCATAATACCTGCTTATTTTCCAGTTTTCCTAAATGGATAAAAGATAAATGATTATAGCTTGAACTGCAGCCTTTATTTTTTTCTCAGATCATTCTTTGGAGTTAGATGATGTCCAAAGAAAGTAAATGTATCAGTATCCTTTACTGAGTTTATTAAAATTGGTGCATACTTTGAATGTTTATGATTTACTCTTCCTAGAAGTAAATTAAGGAATATCTACTTAAAAAGAAATAAACTTAGTCCTCCCTGAGGTCTCTTTATTCCTAAAGGTTCTCAAAGAAATATCAGCTGCCTCCTGTCCTCTTATGGAATCTCCTTGCAAATGGAGAGGGTTGTGTGGCAAAGGGCCGATTTCCACTATTCCTTCTGAGTGGTCAGGGGAGAGTGGAGTTTGGACTTAGAAGAGGGATTAGGAATGCATCTTCATTTGTATCTTTGAGTTTTTCACTTATGTCTCTAAAATGTGGGTTTTGGGTTTCTTTCAGAAGTCACTCATCCCATCACACCACACACACACACACACACACACACACACACACACACACCATCCCTTTGACCTCGAAGAAGCCACAAGATGATATTTGGGACTGAGTTGGAGACTCGGCCAACACAGGCACAGAGAAGCTGGCCCTTCCCATAGCCTTTACCGGCCCTGTTTGTGGGAGAATGTATTTCAAAGCCATTCTTTGGAGGGTCTTCAGGGATTGACACCACCCAGGAGTAGAGAATCAGTCTGGAGCAACAGCATTATTTGCAAAGGGTATCTGCTGGACTATGAAGGCTTTCTATCTCCTACAGGGTCCTAATACTCCTCTCTGCCACCAGCCCTGAAGCTGTGGTGCCCAATGAGCTCCATTTCCTTGGCTTAACAAAAAGTCAAATTTTGGAGTGGGGAAGGAGAAAACAGAACCTTTCCAAAACTTTCTATTCCCTGAATGTCCTTGGGAAAGTCAGAGAGACAAGAGGCTCCCTGCTGAGTCCCTCTTGGGGGAAAAAATTGTTTCCTAGAGTGGAGGGAAGTCTGGGATTAGAATATAGTGGTTTTATGACGTGAAGTGCCTCACAGGAGAGCATGCTGACGCTGGAGAGGAGTGAGAGGACAAGACTATTCACACCTGTCAGAGCAGAGTTTCTCAGCACCATGGACAGCCAGAAAGGTACCACTGGCATGGAAGGGAGTGGTAAAGCCCCAGAGCCTACCCTTTTTGGGAACAAAAGTCAGGATGGGGTAAGGGTCATGAAGAAGTTAGTACAGAAGCCAGGAAGCATGACTCTGATGATTGTCTCTGCTCACTGCAGACGTTGAATAAATTTTGGCTGAGTAATGGAAAGACAGAATAGACAAGTGTGACATTTATTCCCTTGGTGGCAATGACCAGTTTTTTGTGCTTTATACAGAGTAAAGCCAGGTACTTTTTTGTTAGTTAGTTTGTTTTTTTAGTGGTGCACTCCCATGCAATAATGTTTGAAATGGAAGGGTGTAACATTTCTCAGTAGTGCTGCTCTGGTAATCCCAATTCGAATGCCAGTTTTTCCATCAAGCTGAACCTAGTTGGATGGACTCTTACTCTCCTTTAGTCTCATTTTGCTCCTCTGTAATATAGGGAAGATGCATGCCTACCTCACAAGATTGTCACAAAGATAAAATAGCATATCG